GCAGTAGATATGCCAACTGTCGGATTGTGAACGGCTTAACGCCCGTCCACTTGAAGTTGTGCTCAACGAATCGCCAACTGATGGCAAACATGCAGAACATGATGAATAGCACCTGAAGGAAATACCAGACCACTAGTTTCCATCGCACCTTGTTCGTTCTAGAGCATTTAATTTAGTTTATTTAGATTATCATGATGCAAACTGCCCATTACTAGCTCTTTTATACCTAACATAATTGTCTCTATAGAGTAGTGTCGGTGCGATTAGAAAATACATGAATTGTGATATTGTGGGCGCATCTCGTCTCGTCTTATCTGTCAATTTGAGTGCAAAATAATTGTATTTTATCTAAAAATTGTTGAATAAGTTGTTTTATTCACTAAACCTTTGGACACTTCGACATTTCGGTATCTGTTTTCCTCTATAAATGAATGCGATTTCATTGACATTCGGACCTTAAATGTTAAATATAGTGTCAATTGTTATAAAGTTTATAAAGTATTAACTGGTTTTTCGCACACAGTATTACTATCCTTATTATTAAAGCAATAATAAAATAGTCAATATTGGCGTTGAATACCTGTTCCATGAGTATCGCAAACCGACAAACCGGTGATATTTCCGTGTAATTAACGAACTTATAAATATATGCGAATAGAAATGATTGGTAAGCGATCGATNAGCAATAATAAAATAGTCAATATTGGCGTTGAATACCTGTTCCATGAGTATCGCAAACCGACAAACCGGTGATATTTCCGTGTAATTAACGAACTTATAAATATATGCGAATAGAAATGATTGGTAAGCGATCGATATCAGTGTTAGGGCTATATTCTGCACTCCTATTCAATTACAATTGAACAATAAATTACAAAAATGACATTTCAGTATTAGGTGCCGGTGTTTAGTCCATACGTGAACCGAGAAAGTTATGGTTTTTGACCCAAAGCCATACTCTGATGGCCGGATAGAGTACGAGAATTGCACTGAATTGCATGTTAAGCCATGTGAGGGCCCAGATGTGAAATATAGGGACACTAAAGCACCACTTAAGCCAACTTAAGTCCGCATATAATCTGTTTTGTGAAAATATGTATTCATATGATTGCCAGAACTGAATTGCATGTTAAGCCATGTGAGGGCCCAGATGTGAAATATAGGGACACTAAAGCACCACTTAAGCCAACTTAAGTCCGCATATAATCTGTTTTGTGAAAATATGTATTCATATGATTGCCAGAAAGTGGTGGTATATTTTTGCGCAATAATTTGCGGTAAAAACTCACTCATTGGTATCAATTAAGTAATAAGTGACAGAAGTGCCAAATATTATGACAAAAATCGCGAAACACAGGTTATAAGCGGACCTCATGTCTTGGTTTGAATAAAACAATTCGCTTAACAATTGAAAGAGAATTTTCATATAAAATTTAAATCCATTTAATATTACGAAACAATCAATTACTTGAGCCGCGAATCCTTTGTACCGAAATGCTTGTTATGAATAGTTTTGTCACTCATTTTCATCGGGAATTTGACGGAAAAACGTTTTAAACAAAAACAAAATTGTTGTTTAAGATAATCATTGAGTTTAAGTTTGGACTAAAAATCTATTTATAAAAACTTTTCATTTTATATATGCAGAGACGGCTTATCGGCGTTAAATAAATCCAGTCTTTGACCTCAAACTTCAAACAAATTCATGTGTTTTTAAAATCAATGTTTGTTTCTATCGCTCGCCTTAGAGATTAGATTAACTCAATTGACTTTTATTACATTTTAACATTTTATTAAAGGCTATGAAAAAAGTACTGTATATGGGAGAGAGAAACAAATGTATTTATATTAATGGATCTACTGATAGTTACCATGATTTCCAAACCCATTAATTGTAAATCAACACATAAATCATTGATTTAAAATCAATCTAGATCAATTTCAATGAAAATTGTAATTTTGATAATATTTATTATACAACATTCAAAACACATCTTATATTTGTTTAATTTATATGACTTTACGTGTGATAACAGAAAAAATATAATTTAAACATTCAATTTCTGTCCAAAAACAAACCACAATTTATGACCACTTGTGGCCACTTTGTTCGCTCTTCGGCGCCATATTATATCTGTCGGTAAAACAGTGTTGAGTTTGCATTACTGTTTCATTTCAATACAATTACGTAACACATATACTGCCAATCATTCATACCATTCAAAGACCATAAAAAATCAAACGATTGAGCAAATGATAAATATAAAGGAACTCATTGTTTGGCAAAACTGTTGGTCACATATGGTGTGTGGGTTCGGGAGGTATTGCACTGGTTTTACGTCACAAATGAATGGCAAAAATGGGATTCAAGTGGTTGTGAGCGTAAAGTCTACCCGTTTATAACGGCCCCCGAAATATACCCCTTAAAAAAGTTTGCATTTCAATGAAAAGGGTAGGAATGAGAGGGAAAGTCTGTGTGAGTGTGTATTGTGTGCCAATGATTTGATCACATCTTACGCTTGATTTCAATTGTCGTTAAAAATATAAACAACTATTCAATGAAAACAAATGAAAAAACTAATAATAAACATAAAAGTTGTTTACAAAAAATAATCGTCAAATTAAATGTCTAGCGTTTTGTGGTCACGTATGTTGTCGTCAAATGAGATGAATGTCTGTTGAGGTGATAGAGAGCCGATGACAGACGCGGAGACGGGTCCGGCTGTAGGGGAGGAGGCGGTGGTGGGCGGCGAATAGGGGGAGAATTCGCCGATTTGCTGAACATTTTGTTGCAATACTTTGGACAGAAAGAGCCGTATAATGGAGTAATAGTTAGCGCACTTCCACGTGAAGTTATGGGTGCCGTCCAAACGGTGCAACTCTTTGTGTCCACTCGAGCACAACATATACAACGATGTCATCATCGATGAGGGGATCAGTTCGTCGCTGAGGCCGGAGATGA